TTGTGCCAGTGCACTTGTGCAATGACCCTTGTGCAATAGGGGTGCACCCCTGAGATTGGGCAAGCCACCCACACCATCTGCAGGTGGTCACCGATCACCGGTCAGCGCTTGCCACCTCCTACTTGCCACCAACACTGCCTGCCCTGCTGCCACTGCAGTCGCCGTGCCCCCCCAGACAATTTTTTTATACCAAAAATTCAATATATGCAAGGTAAAAGCGGTGGGAATGGGTCTGGGGGTCAGTGCGGTCGAGGTCTTGGGACGTGTCCCTGTTTGTGACGTTGCAAAGTGCGAATTTCCGTTATGGGGTTTAGGTTGTAGCCGTGTTGGTCTAAGGACATAGGCAGACAAGGTTCCTTGGGTGAATTTGATATCTTTTATTAGACCAACCCAAATGGTTGGAGAATGGGTGCCTTTTTGCCGGAATGCATGTATAGCAGAAAGCGGGGGAAACCTGTTCGTAAAACTTTCCACGTGTCCATCATCTTAGCCACCCCCCCACCCAGCAAAAATAAAAGCCAACGCTTATGGCAGGAAGGCAGTTAAAAGCCCAAGTGCACAAATGATCAGCAGTGAGGTGCTGGTGAAAACTAGGAAAGCAACTATTCAGGAGGGCACCTCAAGGGAGGACAAGGACCAATGGGTATAAACTAATAGAGGGTAAATTCAGGTTGGGTATAAGGAAAAACTTCTCTGTAAGGGTCACCAGAATCTGGAGCACGCTCCCAGCAGAAGTGGTGCAGTCACTCTCCTTGCAGGTGTTCAAGATGAGGCTGGACAGGCACCTTGCCAAGCTTATCTGAGCCCAATACTTCCTGCCCGTGGCAGGGGACCGGACTTGAAGGTCGTACGGGTCCCCTCCAGTTCTGTGACTCTAGTCTACGATCGGTTGCAAATGAGAGCACGGCCAGCGTCATCCGTGCCAACGCCCCGGCACTCAATGCTGGCACTGATGTCCGAGAACAAGTCTACTCCAACCTTGACCATGTTCTGACGAACGCTCCCAGGGACAAGATCATTCTCCTTCGTGACTTCAGCTGTGGAGCTGGGCATGGAGTGGCACTGTTGGGAAGGAAGGAGTAGGGCAAGCCAATTTCAACAGCATCTTTCTCCTGAGCAAATGTGTGGAGCATGGTGCTGTCCTTACAAACCCCATCTTCACATGGAGGGACAAATACAAGACAACCTGTAGACTCTCTTGCTCTAAGCACTGGCAGTGGTGACGTGTAGGTGGTGCATGGGGGTGCACCCCCTGACTGGCCTCACTCCCTGCTTAGGCCAGCAGTGGTAGGGACAGGGCTGGAGAGCATCCACAGAAGCTGGCAGCAGTGGGGATGAGGCTGGGGGGGGTTCAC